TCAAATTATTACGTTAATGATGTCTATTATAAATCAAACACTCACTTTAACTAGCTTTAATTTTATTCAATGTTCTTTTTTCACCATAAGTACATCAATTGTGCTAGATTTATTTGTATGTTACACTAATATTCACTCATAAGTTATAGCATTTTTTTTTTAACATGTTGTCAATTATCTAAGTCACCCAGAATGCAATATTGTATGACAAACACGAGAATACCAAACATGTATGCCAAACAAGAGAATACCAAAGAAATGTCAATTCAAGAGTAACCAAAGTTGGATAGAAGTGCATTTATCAGTTTTAAAAAATTCTGAACTGTTGGAAGAAAACATCAACAATAATAATTGAAAATAATACAACAATGTTAATTCTGATAAGCAAATTTGAGGCAAGTCTTCTTGTTATGCCCTGATGTACCACATTTACTACAAGTGACTTTACTCTTGTATTTTCTTTCGTTGAATCCCTTCTTTCGATCGTTACTTGGTGGTCTGTCTGGTTGTTTTCTTGCAATTGGTGGTAGCATTACCTCTTCAAAATATGCGATGAAATATTCCAAGTGCTTTCGCAAGGCAATGGTTCTATTCGAATTGCATAAGTATCTTGAAAATTCTTATTACTATAATAGGAGGAATAATAATCTTCGCGATGTTTGTTTCTGTATCTGATAGTTGCAACTGCATATGTACACCATCATTATGTACTAAAAAAACACCACTATGAATGACACCAAAAAAATCAAAATCGCACCAAATAAAAACGATACATTACACCAAATACCTTATCAATCTAAAATATTCAACCAACATAGAATTAATTTGCAAACCATCATTATGTACCAAAAAACACCACTCTGAATGACACCAATAATAACTTAATTACACCAAACTGGTAGACCATTATGTTCACAAATTAAAAACTACCATTTTCACCAAATAACTTAACGATATTTTTTACCAATTAACTTACCAAAAACCATAATCAATAAAACTGATTTCTACTCCTAACTTACAAACCATACAAAACAAACCAAAGAAAAAATACCCCAGAAACAAAAAAAAAACTTTGAATTGTTGAATAACAACAACAACCTATTTTGAAATTATGGTATTATATATTAGACCAATAAATACACCAACTCATACATCAGAGTATTATATTGGTGTCATTTACCACATCACATACCTAAATCAATTTGTGATAATTCACACAATCAGTTAAACCATACAATGTATTACACCAATCAATGTACCAAAAGTAATCTGACATTTAATCCAAACATACACCAACACATTGATCAAAGTTAATTTACCACCAATTTATAGAAACAAATATACCAGATTAAGTACATGATCACATATGACCAATTTTTTAATTATTATCTACACCAATTCGGATAAATACAATACACCAAAAAATTAATCAATTTTTTTTTTGGAAGTTATATTTTATATACCAAATAATACAACTAAATACACAAAAATATGTACCTGAAATTTAACTTTAAGTTGGTATGTGTACACCCTATCACATACCAAAAGAAACTATTGATAAAATCTGTTAACATTCGGCATGCAACATACCAATTAACCTAATTTTTTTTATAAAAAACTTATTTGACTCATCATATTACAATCAAAATCATATGATGTTGTTGTATTACACCAAAAACGTTAATATAAAACAACGGATAAATACCAAAAAGAATTAAAACACAGATTATGTGAAAATCCTAATAATATTCCACAAACAATTGCTAAATCTTAATATCTATTTAATAATTAAACATTTTACAGTTGCACCAGAATATTAACCAAAATCTTATGAATGTATATTCCACCAAATTCGACAAAACCAAAGGAATTACTACCAAAAAGATTACCTGATGAGTCACAACGCCCGCTGTGATAAATTAAAATTGAAAAATTATTGGTCTGCATATTTGATCGTCGATCTTAGTTTGGAAGAGAAGTTTTATTTTTGTAGAAAACCTTTCTTTATGGGATATGATATATAACAAATTGGAGTAAGTCAAGGAAAGTAAAATAATTAGAGAACTTTAAGGGATATGGATAATTGTGGCTGAAAACGTTTTTTTTTTTTTTAATAAGAATTCCATTTTTTTTTTAAAAATATTGTTATTCAATTGAAAAAAAGTAATGCTATATTCGTGTAATTAAAGTTATTAAGTTGTATACTTAAGTTTTTTCCCATTTTAAAATCCAAGAATGTTTATTGTCCACCAGCAGAGGGAGCAAATGTGCATATTAAATCATATTCATTCCAAAATAATTTTTAAAATGAAGAAAAAAAAACCTCTAATGGAAGCTTCCAAGCTAAAGGCAACAATAATCTCATTATTCATGCATACAATGATTAAATAAAAAAGCATAAGGAATCATATGAATGAAAAACTAAAAATATTTTGGTCGTTTGTTCACAAGACAATCTCACGTGCACATAATGTAATATAATTCTACCAAAAGAAACAGACAAATTTGTCAAACTAACTATGATGAATGGAAAGAATTTCACGGAGTAGTTTAACTCATCACTATTTCATAAGGGCGTTGAGAATTATTTTTTTCTTCATTCGCTCTGTCTTGATTTCAATTCTATTACGTAAGTGGGCCAGCTAGTCTGGATAAAATCTCTAGACTCTTTATACGGTTTGAATAATTCTTATTCTTTTAACCTTTAGTTTTTAGGATGTACATGAGTTAAGTCCAACATTTTAATATAGAATCAGACTCATTCAATGTGGACCTTCAAGGGATCGATTGAAGGAGTGAAAATACCTCGATCTCAGATTGATTGAAGATTGGTGAAAATACCTTCAATTCATGAATGTGCACGTTTCTGATTCGAAAGGCGGCGTGAGTGGAGTTAGGGGTGATGAACGAGATTCCTAAACTCTTTATAAGACTTGGACAATTTTTTTCCAACAGAACATTAAATTTACAGTACCGTACATGGTAGGTTCTAATCATCAATTACATTTACTAGCTAGAAATGATGATAAAATGAGTAAATGTATAGTAAAAGAAATCATATTACGAATTTAAATTAAATTGTTTGCGTTGATAATTGACACACATTGTATTTAAATGTATGGCTTTTGATCACTTTGATGAGTGCAAGATCAATTAGTCTAACACGCATGGATATTAATAAAATGGATGAATGCAGAGATATGGAATCATAATTTGAAATTTATGCGTTTGAAATTATAATTTATATATATTTAACAAAATATTTTATATAAATAAAAGATTTAGATCAAAACTTATGAGTTCAATTCCAAACTTCTAATTATATTCTAACTCCGCCCCTAATTTCCTAAATGAATGTTTCCAAAAGTTTACCACATATGTGAAGGTAATATTAGCGGAATGATTTTGAGAAGTAAATTAATAATTAGGCATCTATGACCGTTACAATATAACAATCAATAGAGAATACCAAATTACCAATTTGATTTGACCTTCTCCTAACATTAAAATTTATAGGTCATATCGATATGGTGAGATAAATAGGATTTGTTCATCATTAATCAATTCGAATTCAAGAACTAATTCTATCTATAAGGTCTAACCGATCACCAACATAAAGTAAAGGAAAAATATATAATTGAACTTTGTTTATAATAATGTTGTCTTAACTCTTAATCTCAAACCTAATATTATTAAGGTCCACCAACATCATTAATGACCTCCATTTGACCAAAAGTTTGATAAAAGAAAAAAATATTGAAAACGCGGATCCACTAAATTACTCCCTCTGTCCCTAATTACTTGTCAATTTTTAAATTGACACACCTATTAAGAAAACATTTATTGATATAGCAAGTTTATCATTTTACCCATATTAATTATGAAGTGGATAAATTAAAAATTTAAGATTTTAAAGAAGTTTTATCTTTTTCAAAATAATTAATTAAGGGTATAATAGTTTAAAAAATTGTATTTTCTTGATTTGCCAAAATGAATAAGTAATTAGGGACAACTAAAACAGAAAAAGTGGACAAGTAATTAGGGACAGAGAAAGTAACATGTAGTCCCTTTTTTTCTATCTTTATGTTTCCATTTGCGGTAAATATTTTTAGTCTGAATATATCATTGAATTACTAGAGACACTCATTTAGGGGGTGATTGAATTGTTGTAGCAGTGATATATCTCATAAGGGAAATCGATCTTCTCAGTCTCTCTTCGATGTAGCAAGTGTGATATCTCAACGGGGTGATAGAAAATATCACTCAATTAATCATTTTCTTAATCGAGTTCGTTACATTGAACTTATCTAATATAATTTTTGAGATATTATATAAGAGCGATTTACTCAATGCAAGCTCAAAAGATAGTAATTACTGATTTTCTTTGAAGTTTCATGAAAATGAAATACAAAAAGAATATTTCATGGAGACGTAACTATTTGAGTGATGATAAAATCAGTAGAAAAGTCGGTAACGCCGTGCCCCACATTGTCCCTATACTCTTAATTATTCTTCCTAAAAACAACTCACAAATTCCTATTTTCACACTGCTCAATACAACACACCTTCTTCATGACTTTTCCTCAAAAATAATTAAAGGGCGCGGGACATAAATAATTTATTCTGAACTCAATAAACAATTTAGTGGCGGAGTCAGGAATTTCACAAAAACACGAGCACTTCCTCATTCTAAGGAGGTGAAACCACTGAGCTATAACAACTTGTTATGTTAAGGGTGTCCAAAATATGTTATTTAATCATTTATGGATTTTTTTTCCGACAAAGGGTGTCTAATTGGACACTGACCACCATGTGGCTATGCCACTGAACGAATCAAATTATAAATTTAAAATTATGAATCCACTTTGTTTGACACACGCTCTACTTGACTAGTACTTTCCCCTAACATCCACTCACTCACACGCACACATATATATTTCATATCTTTATATACCCCTCACATGCAATTTGGTCATTAGTCATTTCATTACAAGCTAGTCCAATACAATACAACATATCTTATAATTAAACCAATCAAAAATGGTTTTTATTGAACCACAAGTTATATGCAAGAAGCATCAAGATCATAAGCAAAATCCTGGAGTTTGTTCTTGTTGTCTTAGAGAAAGACTCATTAAGCTTTCTACTAATTCAACAACAACAATAATGGCAACTTCTTCATCATGTACCTACTCTTCTTTATCTTCATCTACATCTTCTTCCACTTGTGGTTCTCCACGTCGCCATCGTCGGATCAATTCCGACGTTGTGGGCCCCTTCTCTTTCGTTGGCACCGGCGCCGGAGGAGGTTTGAAGAAGAGTAGATCCATAGCTTTTGTTGCAAGATCATGTGGATTATTGAATGAGCAAAAGAAGAAAGAAGGGTTTTGGTCAAAGCTAATAAAGTCAACGGGTAAAAGATCCAAAAGAGTTCTTGTACATTGATCATAGATTTAACTTATATATGTTGACAGTGTAAAATATTTTGATATAATTGGTAAATTTTTACCAAATGTGATAAGTTTGATATTATTATCGATCTCTAACAAGGTATCTATCTATACTTGCTATAAAAGGTTATATATAATTGACTTTTATATATAAGTGGTCTGATATTTTTTTTTAAAAAGGTTAGGTGATGAGTTAGGTAAGTACTTAATTTCTACTTAGTAATGATTTTGGAATTTAGGGTTATTATTTGCACGTGCACTATATCAAGGGAGGTTAATCCAAAATTTGCAAAGATTAGTTGTAGGATTAGTGTCTTTTTATAGCAATAACCAATATGGCATGATATTTAAACAAGTCCAAAGTCAAAAATAGGAACAAAATGAAGGGTAAAGAAGGAAAAGCATCATTAGAATAAAAGGCAAAATTCATCTATCAAGCGACGGAGTATCAGAAAATTCCATTAGGTACTAGCTATTTAGCGATAGATTCCCAACGAAATACATCATAGCTAATTAAATCTATTTTAATTTTTTTTAGTAAAGAGTATTCCTTGGACCATAGGTGTAAAAGTAAATTATGAACTATTGAAATGTGGAAATTAAGAATCACTTACCTAACTTTCTTGTTTTTTAGTTTTGGTGTCTATTCTACTTGTTTAATTTTTATAAGTATCAAATGACGGTCAATGCACGAAATTGCCAAGAAAATTCAAGTAATAGTTGGGAGGAATTAATTATCATCCACTTGGGTCATTAACTTGAAAGTGGAATATTTAATAGAAAATTTTATTTGTTTTCGGTGTTTATCCATCAAATTATATTAACCTATCATGATAATTGTTTTTCGTATTTTAGCCTATATTAGTATGGTTTACTTCTCTCTCTATATAAATATATAACCCCCATTGTAATAACTAATAATAACTTGAGGGAGGTGTTTGGTAGTATGAAAATGTTTTCCACGAGTGAACAAATTTTGAAAAATGTTATTCGAAAAAATAAGTGATTCTCTTATTTGTTTTTGTATTCGGTATATGTGAATGAAAATATTATCTCAAAAACATTTATATATATTCTGATCAAACACTAACAGGGTGAGGTAAGGTTTGATAGTAACGTGTCGGGTGGAGTTAAGGTAAGATGATAATGAGTGTAGAATGCAAATTGTGGACTTGGTTTTTCTAGTTCAACTATAGAAGTCATTTTTCTCATTTTTAAGATGCCTATCTTTATAGAGAATATTTTTCAAATATTTTGACTAATCAAATATGAAAAATTAAAAAATATTTTCTGAAAAATATTTTTCTACGTACAAAACACACCCTTAGTATATTTTTGGTGGTACAAAATAAAATTTAGCTAAGATATATAGTCTTCTTCCTTATTTCACTACACAGCTTGCTCACTGTCATCATTTTTCTTTTTAAAGCAAGGTAAATCTGTGGTCAAAAGTCCGGAGGCGGAGCCAGAATAAGAAATTTGGACTTTTGAGGTTCTAAATTTTAGAATAGAAGAGAAAAATATTGCAAAACATGTTTCCTTTTTAATAGTGGAGTCCAAACCCACAACACTAGCGTGAAAAACATTTTCACTCACCACCCATTTCTTACTATTTAACTGTTAATCAATTTTGTTAAGGGGGTCACAAGTTAATATACATATATAGTTATTTAATTTTCTAATACAAATACAGGATCTACAAAAAAGCTAGTGGGTTCGTTCAAATCCATGAACTCCCACGTAGCTCCACCTCAAAACAAAGTTAAGAAACCTTACGTGGAGAAGTTATATTCTTGTATGTACAGTCAAAATTAAATGATATGTATTGTCACATTCATATTTTAAATTAAACAAGGTTTTAAAACTGAAATAGTTGGGAAAATAAATTGAAACCAGAACAATTATAACTCAAAGTAGTAATACTCAACACACCTTTTTGGTCCTAAAAGGTTGGCCAAAATTGTCCAAGGAAAGTTTGATTTCTGTCAAATAAATGCAATGCATAATTTTGGATGTACCCAAATTTTGTATGGACTTCATCCACTACAACAACATACCAAGTGCAAGCCTACGGGATCTGAGGAAGGTAGAGTGTACACAGACCTTACCGCTACCTCATAGACGTTCATCCACTAAATCCAATAATCCACATATTATAGAAAAAAAACTTCTCATCATATAATATTCATGGGGTATGTTCTCTATAAAAAAAATTACAAAACCACATCAAGCTGTGATTGCAATTTCAACCTTTTACTAGTCTATCAAAATTAACAGCAGGTGTTTTCATGCTTAAGGAAGTATCCATGGAATTTATATCTTACCTTTTCTATCAGTAGTCAATGTGACGGACCAAAATTTTATATAATCATTCTAATGGATTATGTAATCGACATCCCGACTCTAAAGACACAAACCCTCAAAAATTAGCAGTACATGAATTATACAAGAATCGACTTATATAAAAACCGAATTCACTGACCTACAGGATTTCTCTTCATCACTGTGGATTGAGTTTGTATTTCAGCTTTCCTATGACCTAGACTTGTGCCATCACTTCCTGACCAGTTGCTTGGCCCTTATCTTTGCATACACAGCACTTCAACTACATGTCAGCTGTAAAGAATGAGTAAGCAGCTGATACTTTTTCAGAGACCTGTACACCTTCTTGGCTCTTTCCTTCCTGATTTCTACAGTTATTGACAAGTATATTCCATTCTAATAGAAAGCAATTTACAGCATCACCTCCTGGGCCTTCTCTCATGATTGTCATCATCACCGTAATTTTCACTCTCCGTAGCAGGGCGTTTTAATTTCTGGAATATCTCATCAAGAGATTCGGATGAGGAGGCACGAGAAACGTTTGTATCCTCAGTTTGACGTAAGGGAACAAATTCACCAACTTGGCGTAGTGGAATTAACCTTTTTGCTTCAATGTTTGTTTTGAAATTCTGGAAACCTGATTTCATTGATGCCCATCTACCAGCCAAACCTGATGGAGCTGCTACTGCACTGCCAGATTGAGAGCTGGCAGAATCAAGTAAAGAGACCTTAGTAGAGCCTATATCCTCCTCCATTGGCTTCACATGAGATGGTAGCTTGCCCTGTTCCCTCAAGGCAGCATATTTGCTGCTAATGGCTTCCTTGCTCCCTGAATACCGACGGGCCTCATCTTTCAAAGGTTTTGAAGAACTTCCTCGGTCCTTGCTTGATTCCATGAATGCCTTTGATTCAAAATCATTTGTATGCTGAAAAATTGAAGTGAATGTAACTAGGCTGAAGCATGAAAGTTAATGAGATATGACTAGATAACTTGAAAAGACATGGTCACAGACATTGCTGATTAGAATAAATTTTACATGCAAAGAAAATAAAATTTACATGCAATTCTCCTCATGAGAATCGCACAAACCAGTTTAATTCAACACTGAAAAAACAGAACTAACTAATAAACCTAAAGGATGTAGTGATGAACCAAAGGCGGATCCACGATTGAACTTAATGAGTTCGAGTTTTCAAAATTCTATCATAACCTATTTGATTTACTGGGTTGGAAATACATTGTTTATACTTATTTGGTGGACATTTTTAACAAATACAAGGTTTGAGCCTGAGCCAAAGCCATGAACTATAACTTCTACACTAAAGCCGCCCCTATGATGAACACTCAAGGAAAGAAACAAATGAGAGGCAGCATTCGGTCTACACAAAAAGGAAAAGGAAAAGGAAGTGATACAACGATAATATTGTTGCCTTTTCTGCATTTGGGAAGCAGGAAATATATGGGGGGAAAGCAATTTAAGGGTTTCCCTTCAGAGAATTTCTTCCAATTAAGTTCCTGCTCAAGTTAATAATATTCTGAACGAAAGCTGAAAACACTCTTCTTTTTTTTATATAATCGTGGTGTCCGGGCCAGCTTGCGCGCACCTTGACTAATTCCACGGGATACATGTCACCTCCCACCAACAACGAGTACCAGGTAACTTTGTCCACCAAAACTAGGACAAATTGGGAAGAAAGCACGCAGTGTTTTTGTCTCTGCTGTTATTTGAACCCGAGACCCCATGGTTCTCAACCCACTTCATGGACCGCTAGGCCATACCCTTGGGTGCGACACTGTCATCTATTCAAAACCCTTCATTTTCCATTCAACTTATGTATGAAAGGAAATATCACCTCTCTTCTTTTCCTTGTAAAAATTTCTAGATGCATATTTTAGAGCTACTCAATATCCAAATATAGCTTAAAGGTAGATCACATACTATGGTATTGCCATCAGACTCCAGATCCACTGTCATATTGTTGAAATTCCTTGCCAATGGCAAAACATGTTCACCAAGTTTGCGTCCTTGTTCAAGCCAGCTTCGTTCTGCAAAGATTAAGGATAGGTGCATCAAAATTTGCAACATATACTCAGTTCACTGGTGAAACAACTACTGCAACTCAATAGCAAAACAGAAGGTGTTACTTCCATATCAACACTAACACTACAATATCCAGATGAATAAAACACTAAAGCGATACGGCCCAGTTCCAGCTGCTCAGTGGGCCAACAAGCTTGCATTCCAATAAAAGACTAAAGAAAAGCAACAGAGAAAAATGATATTTAGTGACCTGCCTACCTTTCTGCAAGATCAGTAACCCTGATGGATCAAAACCATCCATATCATCTGTCTCTGACTGAAATCTAAATATCTTCCAGTTCCCAAAAAATCTGATTATCCGATCAAAGAAATTGCTTGCAACTAGCAACGTATATACAACCATAATAAGTGGATAAATTTTGTTGAATCCTTGACCAAAGAAAGGAACAGCCTTGTCAACAGTTCCCATTCGCTGCAATAAAAAATAAAGCATTTATGACTTGATAAGGAGATCATGTGTCACGGAATGCCTAAAGAATAAATGCAGATGTTTATTGACAAATCTAACCCCATACAGATTTTTGACGAAAGAATACCATCTGGTAGAGAATACTCCCCCATCATACTGTCTTTGGCAAGGACAAAGACCCCATTTGGACTGGGCTGAATTTAAGTAGCTTTAAAGCACTAAGCACTGAAAAGCACTTTTTTAAGTGCT